TCGAGCATTGGCACAGCCCCTCTGTCCTAGCACTCCTGTCCAGATCCCAGAACCACTTACCCGCCCCACAGGTCCCCTGCTTGCCTGCTGGTCTAACCTGATGCTCGCTGCAAACATGCAACACTCATACACTTGTCCCTCATGAACTCCCCACGTGCATACCAGCATGGAGCCCCCCCACCCACCTGATATCCCAGCCTGGACCCAGGTGCCCCTGGAAATTCCCTGATGAATACCAGCCCCCTACACACACACACCAGGACTCACCCCATCCCAGCTGGCACCACGCACATGAGCTGTGACCTGTGGTCCCATAGCAGCCACTATTGTGGAGCCCCTCACTCACCTGCCTCATGCTGCTCCCCCCAATAGGCAGTTTTGGGAACATACACCATTCCTGCCCCAGTGGCTGGAGGTTAAAGACCCCTGCAGTCCAGTACCTGACAACAGAGGCTGGGGGAGCCCACCCCCCTGGTCTGACTCCAGTAGCTGGCACCAGTTTTCACTCACATGTGCATACAGGTCTCCTCAGCAGCTGGCACAGCCTTTGCAGCACACATACACATTATGCACAGAGATAGTTAAGAAAAGGTTTAATAAGAAGGTGTAAGATGATAGGACAAACCATGGCTATCAGGTGCAGGGCTCAGCAAGGCAAGTGCACTGACCAGCCCCATTTTATGCATGACTGGCCCCTTGTATACCCTTTTCTACCCCGTTTGTTCCTCTCTGCTTCCCCTTTCTCTGCACATACCCTTATGCATCTCCAGAGCTCTATCAGTTCCTGCACCCCTCCCAGTTGAGGCCCCCCCTGGTTTACAGTCTTACCACTTGTGAAGTCCAGGTTGATCTTCATAAAAGTGCAGCCTGTGCTTTCTTGATAGTCCATCAATTAGTGTGAGTGGCAAGATATATTTCTTGTTAGGTCTGTGTCTTGATATATTTTGTTTCTGACTTCCTCCTTTTCCCCTAGTTCCCAAATTGACAAGGTCCCAGATAGATAACCTTGCTGGAATAAACCTTCTTGCACTCTCACATACCTTCATCAATTGGTGTGGCTGTCCAGGTTTGGTTCCCATCACTGCCTCCCTTATTTGTCAGTCAGGTTTGTGTCCCTGTATGTTCTTATTTATGACTTCCTCCTTATTTTCTCTTGTTGCATTCAGAAAGGTCCTTGACCAGATACCCCTAAAGGAGCAGACACTGTGTGGCCAAATACCCTTACACTACACGTTCTTGGTGAAGCATGGAAGCAGCCACTCTGTCTGTCTGCTGGGAGATAAAATGTTTCTGTTTGACATACCTACTTAGTTCTCTTAAATCAGAAAACAACCTGAATGAGACATTCTCTTGTCCTACTATTAGCACCGAGGGCACCCATTTAATAGGCTTTTCTGCATTTTGATTATGATAATTTTAATTAACATAAACATTGAATTAATCACTTTTTAATTATGTTAATTATTGATGATAACTACATCCCAGTATTACCAGGAAGTTAATCTTACCCTGCATTTATTTTCGTAATTACAAAAACTTTGTGGATGCATACATTACTGTCATCAGATCTGAAAAGCAGAGTTTTCTGTTCTGGGATTGATTTTCCCATACAGTTAGAAGGACAGCTCCAAGAAGCCTGTGTGTTTGTTTTAGGGTACATACACCCCTAACCAGATTACACTTATTAAACTTCCTATTGGCTTTTTATTCCTGGGACTTATAACCTATTTAAGCTATTGTATTTCAAGTTTAATTTTCAGTCTTGTAATAGAACTACCCCAACATAAGCCTGTATGACTGGTTTCCGCTTTCCTTACACACTTTCTTTTATTTTCACATGTATCACTTACCTGAGCATCATTTTTCAGCATGTCATCTGCACAGCTTCCATCAGTTCCCAGTCAGAGACTATTCCTGTGTGTCAGATTTTGCAGACTGATAGAGTACTCTGGATTCTGTGCATCATACCTCATCATTGCTGACATCTTTTTGCTGCACTGGTATGCTGAAACGCTCATTGAATATTCTACTTTGTGCCAGCCACTGTTGGCTGCAAACTCCTGAAAGTGTTCAAACTTTATGAGCTTTCCAACACTGGTTGTTATTTGGCTTTGTGCATATTTCCATATCGCATTGGCAGTGTTTCTTTTCACTGCCATGCAGTTTTTTTGGGCAGACTCTTTTAAGTTCTTTTTTTTATTTTCTAGCTTTCTCTTTTGCAGTTTCCTCCCCTGTTAGTCAGCTTGTCAGATGCAGTTATACCCTCTGTGCCTTCCTTCTGGCATTTTCATTCTTCTCTGAGCAATGTTTGCAGCTTGGCCATTGTTGTCAGCCTTTTCTAACTCCAGGTGTCTATAGTCCAGCGATCTTTCCTCTACTTTGGACTCTGCTTCCAGTTGCCTGTTCTCTGATAATGCAACATGCTGAAGTGCCATCATCCTACATCTGGCTTGTTCATTTCAGCTCAGACAACCATTCTTCAAAGGACATTCTTTTTGCAGTCATGTACCTTTCAATTGTTTGACTTTTCCTGAGGATGTAGTGTTTTCCAGATTTGTCAGCCATTGCACATAGCTTAATTTCTTATCCCGACTTATTTGCACCCTGTTAAAGACATCACCCGCTCCACATCATAGAGCGTTCAAGAAAATAGATCCATCCCTTTTTGTCTCAAGGCAATCTGATACTATGTGGACATCATAGCTATCCTTGAATCTTTCCTAGGATATCAGTTTTAGTCACTCCCTTCCTGTGTGTCTTTTCTAACTAAGAAGTCTTTTCCTACATTCTTCTTTAAATAAATCTTCTCTAAATACTTAAATTCTACCACTAGTACCATGTCATGTTTCAGATCCCCAGGCTAAAGGCTGTCAGCAAGCCCTATGGTAGAAATAGTTTATTTATAGCTACATTAATAGTCAGCATGAAAGATATTTCTGAATTGTCTTCTCTGTGTTGCTTTCTGGTCCAGGATGATTCTGAGGGCTCAAGTCTTTACTTTGTATCACACTCCTTAAAGCAAGTGCTGTGTGAGTCTTCCTGAACAAAGTAGGTCTAGGAATATAAGGTCTGTGTAATCATTATTCAGGCAACCCTCTTCCCACTTGCAGAAGTAGTTGAGAACCAAAGTGGAGAGGATGCCAAAAACATGACCTGATAATTAGCATCTGTGAAAGAGAAGAAATTTTGGGAACACCCCGCAATCTTCTACATTCACATTGCTGCTCTGTGTAAGAAGCAAAACTGTAAATGGTTATAATATTTCCTTATATTTACTCAATTCCCCTGAAGGACATTTGTGGAGAATTATGAGCTAAGAACCTCCTTCACACCTTATCTTCTCTTGGTTCTCACCTGCAGAAGGTTTAGTTCCTCAGGAAACAAGCTTTCATCCATGGGCTGCAGTATTACTTCAGTTCCACTTTAGATCCACTTCAGTTCATGTTCAATATTCATCCCTTAGAAAGTCAAGGTAGCATAAGGATTGTTGTTCACCCAGTGTTCAATGTGGACAAAGAACCACCAATGTATTTTCCCACTTTCTCTCTCCTCTAGCAAGAGGTACAGGATTTAAGTTGCAAATGAGATACAAGGATGAAATTCAAGTTTGCTCTAAAACTGTAATTATGGTGTAGGAGGGTATCATGCCTTTGTGTGCACACACAGTGCACTTAAGTCATTAATCCCAAGGTAGCCAAGTAACTCCCCATCTGGTTGTCTGCATAAGTAACACAATGAACTGGTTGGAGACAAAGGACCAACCTGAGACAAGGTGATTGACAGAAGACCTAGTCCCCTTCCTGGTAAAGAATTTGACCAATTTTTAAAGGAGCTTTGCAGGTAGAAATTTTGGATAGTCCCAGAGAGTCCCCTCAGTAGCCCCTGCTGAGCCTAGACTGATTGAAAGCCATTCCTTGTATCCTCAGTGTGTTGATTAACATCCTGGGTGGGCAATCTGGCACCATCCCAGAGACCTCTCCAGATGGGTCCTGCTGCAGAAACAACAAAACTGAACACAGGTAAGATGCTCTTAAATGGACAGTAGAAACTGTTTCTGCAGATGCAAAAATGTTCACGTAGGACAGCCTTTTGTATGTGGTTAAGATAATTAGAAGATATTTTCTGTGTTCTTTAAGGTACTCAGAATGGTTAGAATATGCATATGCTTGAGTGATGACACAGGGTGACGGGCCAGGTGGATACAGGAATTTAGCAGAGAATGGTTTGGGGAGATCTCACCCAGTCCAACTTAAAACACCACTGCAAGGATCCTTACAATGCAGGTTTCTATCACCATCTGGACAGTGACCAACTGTCTGTTCAAAAGATTGAGTTTCCCATGTAAGCATTATTTTATGCAAATTTTTAAAATAATCTTTCATTTTGTTTTGGTTTGTTGTGTTTTTTTTTTTTTCACAAACTAATGACTTGCTAAGGACAGGCAAGAGATGCCCATTGAGGGAGGGGTGTCCCTTTTCCAAGCCATGGCTTCCTGGACTTAAATTCTAAGGATGCTGGTCGTTTCATTGCCTTCATCTCATGAAAACTGGTACCAATACACCCCCACAAACAAACAAACAAATAAAAAGGCTCATTGCTGTTTCAGGGGCAAGGGACTGGTTTGCAAAGCTTGTGCAAACAAGGTCTTGATTTTGCAGGTTACAGGTGTCTTCAGGGATTTAAAGAGTCATCCTTCACACTACTGCAGTTCATACTGTTTCCTGTGACCAGAGGACAAGCTAAAGCAATTTCAGCCTTTGTGTGGCTCAAATGAATTTAACAAGGTCACATGGTAGATAAGTGAGATTTAGGAGGGGTTCAGAGGATATTAAAATGGCAGATATTTAAAGGAATTTACTGCTTGTCACATAAAAGGAGCAGTGGTGCTCATTGGCAGAAAGTAAAATGTGTGCTAGTCCAGAACAGTCAGCAGAGTGCGGGAGAAACCAGGGCATTATTGTATGATAATTCCACAATTTTTTCTTCGTCTTGATCTGTAGGGTCTACCTGGAAATCCAGGGGAAAGAGGACCTCCTGGAAAACCAGTATGTAACTTCACTTCTATATTGCGTCTTCCTTTTAACTCAAGTTTCCACCTGTACACCTCACCTCAGAATTGTACTTCAGTGCATTTCCACTGTGGCTCTTTCCAGCAGAGCAACTGGAAAAACACTAAGAACCACTAAGGGGTTATGATAAAAATATCTGGGATGGCTTTGGAACAGTAGGAAACTAACTGGATATCCTGCATGTAAATAAAAGCCAAAATTTGAAAGGCACTTTCTCAGCACCACTATGCAGTACCCTCAGCAAGAGCTCATCTGAAGTGTGATGAAGTGCATTGATAACGTAGGGCAGGAAGTATGTGATTGACCCAGTGAGTCCCTAGGCAGGGCAAGGGATGCCAATGAAAGTCTATAAGCATGTTCAGGAAAATTTCTTATATCTTGATGCCTTTGAAATTGCTTGAGATAATGAATTTCTCATTCCACAGGGTTCCTCACCCCTGCTCTCTCCAGAGGACATAAATCTCTTAGTAAAGGTAATCGACCTTTGATGATGGTAGGAGTTTATCTGTATGTTTGATTCAAATCTGACTAACACTCTGTGATGGGAAAATGTCTGAGACACATGTGCAAAAGGTGCCTTTAAACACTTTGTCAAAGCTTCAAACTTGCAGGTCTCCTACTTGCACTGATATTGGGACACCAGAGCACATGCTAGAGATCAAAATCCAATGCCTTTTGACCATCCCCAGCAGTGAAATGACCTACAAAGATCTTTATAACATGGTGCATGTTACAAAAGCTCTGAGACTTTTTCAGCTCTGAGGCATGCATTCCCAAGGAAAAATAAATGTTGTCAAGTTGCATTATCTAAACTAGAAAATGGAAACCATTTTAATAAAATGTCTGACTTTTCACGTATACCTTCAACAGTGACTTGGAGTAGTTTTGAACTGTGAGTGCAAAGTCAGTTTGCAAACTGCATCTCAAGGGATGCAGGTAATTAACTCCAGATGCACCCATGATCTATCTGTGTTTTTACACTCCATGTAGAGAGTTGTCTGGGAAGTATGTCAGTATTTGACAAGTGTTGACTGCAAAATCTTTACAGATTTACATGGGTCGAGTTGGGAGATTTTTAAGCAGTCTTGGGATATGGCAAGAAATACTTGCTTATTGATTAAAAGAAACTAAAAGATTACCTTTTTTAACAACCCCATTAACAAAAGACCCTGTTAAGATTGCTACTGTGAGGTGCCCTCATTGAAGAGCTGTCTTTCTACAGAGACAAGTATTTTTCTGAAGATTTCACTGTATCATATTGTTTGGGATTTCTGATCAGGGTAATATCAAGAGACGGATTCTTAGGTACAGGATGTCATTTTAATGCTCCTTTGTTTTCTTCCTTTGATTATGTTATGGTTAAACATATTCATATGCCTTGCATATTCTTTCTGCTTGGTATTTTTTCACTCCACGCTTGGTACAGATCCATATAATCCCATTTTCGACTAAAACAGAACCAATTCTTCTTTCAGTATATCCTCCTTCAGTTAAGTTTCTTCTAAGTAACTGCACTTTCTGAAGTTGACTACAGGCTTTTCAGACAGTGTTTGCTTTCAGAATTGATAACGCTTGATGTTTATAGTTGTTACCAAGGTAACGGTAGGATCGGTATGCAGAAAGACCTATGCTTATACTTATCCCTGTGGGAACCCAGGTGACTGCTGGCTCTCTTATGTTCCACAAGTGAAAAGGTGTAAAAGGGTTGCACCTGAGGGAAGGAGCAGACAGGACAGGTGAGCAAAAATTGACCAAAGAAGTATTCCATCCTTTACGTGTCATACTTAGTATAAAGCTAAGGGATCATGGGGGTCAGACCTTCTTCTTTCATGGCCAGCATTGTTGTAGGACTCTGCTTGTTCCCCTGCCTCTAATCCCAACCCATGTGTTCCTGAATGTGCTTCCTGTCTGCTGCTAAATCCAGCCCGGGACATCCACTGTGGCAAGCAATTCCATGATCATCACTGGGAAGCTCAATATGAGTTTTGTCTATTTTTATTTCTCTTATTAGTAGTATTGATATTATTATACAATTTTTCATTGTTATTGTTTTATTAAAGTTGTTTTCATTTTCCAACCCCCAAGTCTCTCTCCCTTTTCTCCTTTCCTTCCTCTTCTGGGGGAGGAAGGAGTTAATAGAGAGCATCTGTCATCCGCTTTAATTGCCAGGCTAGCCTTAAACAGTGACACATACAAAGCAGCACCTTGAAATCCCAGATGAAATTAGGACTCTCTTGTTTTGAGTGTTTCTCAAGCACTTACATTGTAAGTAGATACATATGCATGTAGGGACTGAGATTTAGAAAGACAGTTTACCCCACAATTTTGCAATGGATGATTGACAGAGTTGGGTGTTGGAGCAATGTCTCCTGACTCTCGGCCTGATGATCTGCCTGTTGTGCTACGCTGTCTCTTATAGGCAGGATTCACTCCCCTTTTGCTAAAGGGAGTCTGCCTTTGAAATGGAAATGTGATATTTCATTTCCTGAGGATAGTAGAAATGTAGAAATTACTGAGATGATGCTTCAAAGAGTTTTGGAAGGAGGGGGGTAGTATTTCTCCATGACAGAATCTGGCCAGGACACTGTGACATTCACCTGGTCTTCACATACTCCATTGGATGAGTCCTCCTTGACCACACTAGCTGTTGAATACAGCTTCCTTTGCAGAACAACCTTTCTGACATTGTGCTGCGCTTGGGTTTTCCCTAGCAATATGCCTTCTGAGCAGTAACCCAGCTTTTTCAGACTGGTGTAGACACAGTTTTCTAGTACTCTTGTAGCTTCAAAACAAGGTTGTTCTTGGTAGTCTTGCTTTGCAGCTTTCTGACCTCCCCATTAGGAAGAGCTTTTCCTTGCTTTCTTGATCCTGGATGATCAGTTAGGACTTGTCCAACTAGAACTGACAGGAAACTCCCCATGGGAGCACGTGTAAGCTCAGCTGCTGGCCCTGACTCTGCTCCACACTGCCCTCATTTCAGATCTGTAAGGCAAAGTAACCCAGATCCTAACCAGTGTGGCCAAACTGCAAAGGCCTATGTATTATACTAGCACTATACTGCTGCATTCATAATGAGTGTCTGTAGGGTCTGCTAAGTGCCTTCAGTCTATTGCTAATTTATTTCTCCATGTTCTTTCCTAGGATGTGTGCAGCGAATGCCCTCCTGGCCCACCAGGACTGCCAGGCATCCCAGGTTTCAAAGGTGATAAAGGCCTCCGAGGACCACCAGGTAGAGATGGCCAGGATGGGAAAATGGTAAGAGAGCTGGGGAAGTGACCATGTTTTGGATGTGGTATAACCTTGTTTTTCTTATCATATTTCCAGATGGTTGATTTTAACTTTTTTTTCATCAACAACCTACTGAATCATTTTTACATGTCTGTGGAGTCAATGGACTAAACTAGTGTTTACCTCTACCTCTTCTGTATTGCAGGGGAATGCTGGTCCCAGAGGTCCTGCAGGTCCACCTGGCCTAGATGGCCCAAAGGTTGGTTGGTTTTCTTCAGCTGTCTAATGAAAATTTATTTGTGACTAGTTAGTATCCTAGCTAAAGCAGGATCTTGGTGGCATCCACTTCTGTGTATAGAGGTAGGACTGACCTGTTGGGTGGGCCCTGTACTGGCAATTCACTGAAGTGACACATGCATGCAGAACTGCACCGCTCCCCACATGAACACTGTTTCACATAAACAGTGTCTTCTATCATCTCTCTGTTCACACAGACACACACAGACACACACACACAGAAGTGGAGGGCCCGATTCTTGATGTTGAATTTCATTACATTGGTGTTTTGATGACGGATAAGGACTTCAGAGTAAGTCTCAATCCAAATCAGGTGAGGAAGAAATGAAAGCCTCAGCAGTAGCCACCCTGCCTGTTCCTCTCCTCTTTGAATCCTATAAGCTTGGATCACTTTAATTAAGGCTGATGCAATGGGCTGCTGGGCTCCATATACACTATCTGCCATGGTGGTTTTATCCACAAACTCTGAATGTTTCCTGGAACACGCTATAGGAAGTACTCCTTGTTTCAGTTATATGCTTCTGCCTAACCATCTAGGGACACAGACCAACATAAAACTTCCAATATCTGAAGGATTCCAATAATGTCACATTTCAAGCATTTCTCATTAAAAGGTCTGTCATCAGTCTGCTCACAATGCCAGTGCCTGGTCATAATCAAAACCTTTACAACTGCCTAATGTGAAATAAATCAAAACGAACGAATGGATAGAGAGATAAGGTGATTTCATGATGGACCGCACCTTCCTCCTGACTTCCCTGCATTCCCTGACCTACTGTATAAAACAGCTTCTGCTATTATAACATCTTTGTATTTGCACTTATTAGGGTGTATGACAAGTTAATAGAGATTCATGATAATTTTACATCTTGCAATTAAAAGTGTGGTGGGGAGCGCAGTAGAGTCTCAAGAGCAAATAGAGGGTTGATCAAAATGGAATTATGTTCCAGGGTAAATTTCACAAAATAATTAGTAACCCATAAAGACAATAACTGGCAGAAACACCAAGTAGTCTGAGACATACTGTCTGCTGCTTTCTTATATGCTAGAAGAAAGCAAAGATTTGGGCAGCAAGACTGAATGTTTAGGTGAAGTAATAGGTCCAATTTTAAACTGCATGTGCATAAAATACAATCAAGTAATTGACAAATAGTCTAACTTATATTCAGGAAAAAGGCAGATTCACAGACTCTGCGAATGCTAAAAGAACATATTCTAAGACTGTCATGGAGGCACACCTGTATTTGCTGCGTAGGGGACAAGGTCAGCCAAAACTGTCCAGGAGACAGTCCCATCGAGTCACAAGGTCCAGAGAGGACCCCCTTGCTTTCTAAACTCCTTCTCAGAGAGGAGCCTGGGTGCAGCTGGATCCACTCCTAGTCCCAGACTTGGTCAATCGTTTATGTCTAAAGGATTATATAAACATAATCAAACTAGGCAGATGGCAAACTCAAAAGGGGAATTTATTTGTCTAAACAAAGTTGAAAATTAGGATAAAAATAAAATGTACTCTTAACCAAAATAGCTTTACATTCCAATAAACATTAAGCTACAGGTTCAGGACACCATATGGAATTCATTACTACATGGCTCAGGAGATCCCCAGACTTTGGAATGATAATCCAAAATGTGCAATCCCTCACCTATAAGATGAGGGCTGTCAGCCTCAAGGAGTTTCCTTAGGTGACATCCCAGCCTAAGGAGAGAGTCCGCAGCGGCACACCCACTGCTCCAAAGAGGACCAACTCAACATGGCCTCCCAGCCCGGCTCCCTTTATAACCTAGGTCAATCTGATCTGTGGCCATATATGGTCAGTGGTCTAGAAACTTCTCTCAACTGAGGTGTTTGATTGGCTAAGGGTCGTGCCTGTTGACCAAGAGGTCCTGCCTTTCCTGTCCCCTGTTAGAGAGATCCATCGGTCAAGAAGTTTCTGGTGTTGTTGAGGGGGGGAAGGGGGGCTGCATCTGCCACGAAGACCCCTAAGAAGGTGCAAATACAAAGACAGTCTTTGTGACTCCTTCCTAAATACATTAGGAGGATCCTCACAGTGAAAGACCCAAAGAGCTCTGCACTTTTGAATGTGTAGTATATTGTCCTTACCAATACCATCCAAACTAGTATTAGGTCTCATTCTGAAATAGAAGAGTAAGACTGCAGATCTTTGCTCATGAGCAGCTTCATGCCTTCTGGCAACACGAATTAGGCCTCTTTCAATTAATAAATAGCAGCCCTTACTTCCCCACTTGTCTCCTAGCTGCCACGTAGTAAACCAGAGCATTATTTCCATGGCTACCAATTCATCAGTGTTCTGTCCATTGTTCGTAATTTGTTCACCGTCATCCAGTATTTTTCACTGTGTAAGACTCATCTGACCTTACTTCAAACATTGGTAATACAGACACCTACATTGAGTTAGCTGCCTCTGTTCTGTTGTCACTAGCACAGGAAGAGAGAGAGAGAAAAAAGGGGGCACTTTCTGGGTATGAATTTTCTGGCTCCACCTTAGAAATGCTGGTTTTATTGCTGCTGTCCCTGAAGGGAGAGAGGGTTACTGGCTCATACTATGGATGTCTTTGTTGGGCCAGATGATTCCTTACCGAGATCTGATTTAGTGAAGTTCCTAACAACCTGTCTGCATTCTAAGGATGTATAAGTCCTCTTGATATCCAAGAGGCTACAACATTAAAAAAGGGCTATGTTGGGTCTGCTCAAAGGCCGTTCTTCATGTATATTCCTCGCTCCAACACCGGTAGTGAAAGTCTAGGGAAGAATTTAAGAGGAGAGCAAGCAGGACTCAGTCCTAATTTATGAGTTTCATGCTAAAATGTCGCAGTGCTTTATGAAATAGGTCAAAAAGCTGATACAATACTAAATCTAAGTGACTTTCAATGGCCTTTTTTTTCATTATCAGGGTGCTAAAGGAGACCATGGTATGACTGGGGATGCAGGAGAAAAAGGTGAACAGGTAAAAGCAGAGTGTGGTTTCCAACAATGCCATCACTGTGATTGTTCCTTCATCAATAACTCCTATGATGTCTGTAGAGGAATACCCTTCTCAGAGGCAGAGGACAAGGATGAGAACTCTTCATCACTGTTAAAGCTCAAATGGACTATGCTGAAGAGTGGAACTGCAGCAGTCCTCCACAAGCTTCCATCCCCATCTCCAATAAAAACCTTCCTGTATGATCTGCTTCCTCACCTCTAGATTGGATGCATTCAATTCTCTACATTACCTAACCCTTAGTCATTTCCCCAGATAATGCCTAGATGAGATCTGGGAGGTCAGGTGTCTTTGGGTTGAAAAAGCTGGTGTTTCCATTTGTCCTAGAAGATGAATGTAAGGATGACCTCTTAGGAGGGACTGAGATGCCACAGGAAAGAGGAGAATGGTCTAAATTAGAGCAACGTTTCATAGCTAATTTTGCCGATGGCTGAGTCAATAGTTTAAGGTGCAAATCAGCACCTCTTCAATGAGATTTGTAGGATACTTTAAACAGGTTTGGTTTCCTGCCTTGTACAATTTCACATTATTTGTTCTCATCTTCTGTTAGCATAGACATTAGAAAACATACAGCTTAAATTTAACTATGTTTCTTTCTGAAGTACAGGCTTTGAAAACCAAGGGTTTGCTTTAAAAGGCCATGGTTCTTTATTTCCTTATAACTAGCTCTCTGTTTATTGTCTCATTTTGATTTTACCTCACAATGTTCTATCATCAGTTAACTTTTATACACATCACTAGGGATGTGAATAATGTGTAAAGAAAGTCTCTCTTTTCATTCTGCAGGGCCACCCTGGAATGCCTGGCTTCTCAGGGGCTCCTGGAAACCCTGGTCCACCTGTAAGTTTCTCTGTTGCAAAGATGGTCCTGTACTTTCCTTAATAATAAAGGTTGTTGCAAGCTCCATGTGGAAGAAAGGACCGTTCCCATCTGTCTGTGCATGGCATTTGCATTTTCCAGTGGATTCCTAATGGTCCCCTGAGTGTCGTAGCGTTCCCCACTCACGATAATTGCTATTTAATACATTGGCCACTTTTCACTGATTGCTTCAACTCACTCTGTAAATTGATGCTAAGCTTCAGTCACTCTCTTTATACAAGACAATGATAATGAAAACTCTTCTGCAGAGACTACTTAGTAGTATGCATATAGGTGTTTTCTTGTGTGTGGAATATGTTGTCAGTTTGGAACCAGCACATCTAAGAGTATTTTAGTTCTCAATTTTACACAGTAGTGGTATGAGACTGGATTTTCTCCAATTTTCATATCCTGTGGGTTACTTTTAAATTAAAAAGCTTTATACATGTGTTCCTCTACATCACATTCCTTCTCATTCCTAGCTACTCTCTCCACAAATACAATTACACCTCTTTGTATTTAAAAAGGGGTGACAGTGCAGAAGCAGGGCTGAAAAAACTTGGCTCTTCTGCTTGTGATATCACCACTTGCACCCTCCAAGAGCTGGGACTTTTCCTGAGTGAAGGACTTTTCTTTCCAAATCACCTTTCTTTGCCCATAGTCATCACTACTCATATTGCTGCTTACAGTGCTGTTTGTCTCCGCTATGCTGAGGGTCTGCAACCTTTGTCTGTTCTGGGGATCAGCACAGTCTCTTCAAAGCTGAATTTACATTGCACTGACTAAATGACAGGAGGTACAAGAAAAGAAGATTAGATTAAAATTCTCTTTTCAGATGGTAGAAGTACCTGAAGGATGGTGAATGCTTTGCCACTGGGATAACATGTGGACCTGCTTTGCAGGTCATTTGCGCTCTTGTGAGCACTATTTTAGGAGAAACTAATAAAACATTTACTGCATCTGTATCAACCTCATACTGCCACAGCCATAGGGTTATTCCAGTAGGATTAAAACTCTTAAAACTGTCCTATGACACCCTCTGAATAGACTCACAAAGGAAATATGCAAAGTAAAACTGAGCCTGTCAAAGCAGAGAAGAATGTGATGTTCCCCTAGATATTTTTTTCTTCAGCGTTTGCTGACTTTTTCCTCTGTCTGCATTGACTCGTGACTCCAGGAATTTGCCTGCCACAGAGTGTGCTTCAAACTGCTCTCATAATTTCTGTTCTTCAGACTTATTTTTGTCACAAGATTGACTTTTTCTTATTTATTCCCTGTTTTCAGAAAGAAGGGCCAGGACCAAACTCAAATATCTGACTATTTCTGGCTTTGGAAGCTGACTGAATGCAGAGATTGACACTGTTTTTCTGTGATGAATGAAGAAATAATGGAATGAATGCTGAACTGAGTGACTGAAGAAAACTTCAGTCTTGCTAGCTGGGGTAGTGAGTGTGTTGACAAATGTACAAAATGCATTAATCACTCACGTTGTTTCTGCTTTATTTTGTTTAGGGACCAGATGGGGCACCGGGACCAATAGGACCAGCAGGAAACCCAGGAGAGATAGTAAGCTCTAAGCTGTGTGTTTCACCAGCAGCTTCACCTATATTTAGCTCTGTGAAGTAGAGCTGAGCTGGAACCCTTGTAATGTCCTTTGGAAGCTCCCCAAAATATTCAGCCTGAATCAGTTCTACACTTGCAAGTAGGACCTCCACAAATAACCACAGATTATGCAGCTCTTGCAGTTTTGTTTACTCACCAAAGGAAACTCTAAATTAGCTGGAGCATAATCCAGTCCATGGGACCTCTAAGGAGGTTCTGATACCTCTTGTCTGTCTGTCCTTGATAGTAACATCTCTTAGCGTCTAGAACAGGATGACTAAAACTGTTAGGATGCTTCGTGACCCAGGCTAACACCTGAACTATGTGTGGGGATTGTCGAAAGGAAACCAGACCTGAGACCATTCCCTGGTACCACTGAAAATACTAGTAGAGTTGCAAACTTTGAGAAGTCCCTGAAGAATTTTGCTACTGCTGTTTCATTTGAAGGGTGTTCAGACGCTACTTTATGGTAATGCATCAGAAAACCCAGAGAGAGACAGGTAATGTGATTGATGCTAACTTCAGGTTGAAAAGGAAAAAATGAACTTTCCCTGAGTAATGCATGCTGTTGAGCTGGAACAGTTTAAGACTGTGTAATTCTGTGATTAATTTCTAGAGCAGGCTTTCCTTATGAGCAAGGTGCCTTTTGCAGATGCATTTCAACATAACCTTCATCATAAGTAAACAGTGGTGGTCCTTCTGATGGCTGTTCCGAAATCACTGAGCACTCTCAGCAGAGAGGTCAGAGCCTACATGGACAGGTTGGCTGAAATTCCCTTTCAAATGGATGATCAAGGTTGAGACACTGTGCAGGACCTGGGATGCTATTACCCGGTCCTGTAGAGTAAGGGCATTTCTTGGGACTGTGAGCAAAACACTTCTCATAACTGCCAATTTGATAGGTATAAAATACAGATCTTCTGCTTCCTGGTTGGACACCTCATGCAGGAAGTTAAGGACTAAATATTAAATGTAATTAAACTTCAGAAAAGAATTGCCAGTCATTTCAATGGTTTCTCCATCTGTAACGATTTATAACTAATAGTTGATGTTTCATGTGAAAAGAAAGCCCTCTAGTTTAAACTAGAAGGAATTCAAGGAAACCTCCTACACTGTGTGACATGAGCTACAAGACCAGCTTCTCACAGATGTTCCTTGTCAGTCTCTACATTTGGTAAATCTTCAGCTGACAGAAGCATCTGAGGAGCTTGTCTGACCCGCAGTGTTTCTGCTTTCTTTCCAGGGTAAAGATGGCCCTCCAGGTCCACAGGGCCCACCAGGGTTGCCTGGACTTCCAGTGAGTGCAATTCAACTCCTTCTAATTCAATACATTAAACTGTTCATAAACACATAGGTGTGTAAAACAAAGAGGTGACGTTTTTGAGGTGCTTTGAAAGCTACACATGATCTGTAATGGTATCTGTCATGTTGATGCTGTGTCCTTGGTCTAGGACAGTGTGAATGCTGTATTTGATCACTTTAAAGCTAAGTGTTAATTACCAACATGGATCAGGTCCGTTCCTTACCTGCCTCCTCATTGGAAGAAATACTCTTGTGCAGAGCACAAAAATCAACTAATAGCTCCAGTGTAAAGGCACAAAAATTCACAGACTGGAATATTGTCTTTATCTGAATCCACAGTCAAAATTATTCCTTTGCACTGATGCAAGCTCAAGTGCATCTTGGGCATAGACTCTTCTCTTCTGAAAAATATATTAGTTCAGCATTTTGGGTTTTTTCAATCTGTCGTAGGGGTAGGGCCAGAGCTATTTCTAGTGTAAAGTAGCCTAGTTGAATGAAGATAATGGCATTATAATGATTTATAACACCTTTTTTTAGAATCCTGTTTTAAGATTATTGGAGTGCTCGCATTACTGAGAAGGAGGAAACCCCTTAGACTTGCCATATTGGAAAGGGAAACGGTTTATGCTGTTACAGTGGTGCGGCAAGGAGAGGTTTATGGCTGACCTATAGAAATGGAGTAATTTTTGGAGGGTTAGGCAAACTTAAGTATGCCATGATGAAGCAGAGTTATCACTGTGAAACTCACACTGACGAAAACCACACCAGTCTTCCCTATCGACTCCTTCCTTTTTACCCTGTTTTGCATTTCATTTACAGGGCATTGCTGGGAATGATGGCAAAGATGGCAAGCCAGGATCTCTTGGGGAACCGGTAATGTAATTTAAAACTGTTTCTCTCAGGCAACCAGACCCTGCATCCAGTTATTGTTTTTCGAGCTGCCTATCTATGGACTCCTTAAGGGGGGCAGGGAGCCTGTTTGCATGTCTTTTTTTAACACCAGAAGGACTATATTGTCTTGAGTAATTTGTAAGAGTCACATGCTACCAATCTTGAAAAGAAACTGGGTTCTTTTACTTTTACAGCTACCATAAATATACTAAAACTTAGTGATTCCACTTTTACAGCTACCGTAAATATTGCAGAGAAAGAAGGTTGTCTTGTAACATTAAACCTAGTGATCCATTTTTTAGGTAGAAGATTATGAGGCATAAAATCTTTAAAGGAGGTGTCTTTAAAGAAGCCTTTTCTGTATTGCTTTGCAACAGTTCTGTTGTCCAGGATTAGAGGTTTTATATTTGATTTTCTCTACTTAGTCTATGCTTGCATTTGCTGAGGGAAAAAAGCTGAGCCATGAAGATGTGAGCCAAAAGGAGATGTTAATAAATTGGGCAGTGAATGTTATTCCTTACAACTGTGTTTGTTATGTGAAGAATGTGCTTCTAGTATCTGGCATTGCCAGCCTCTTGCTATGACTTGTCAAATGGGACTTAGTGGTTCTGAGAAGAGCCAAGTTCCCAATCATTAGGACAACTGTTATGTGGAGCAGCACTTGTCACAGCAGTTGCAGACAGTTGTGTGCTTGCATTAAAACACCTGGTTTCTACATGCAGATGCTGATTTTGTATGTGCTGACTAGGTGTTGGTGCAGTTCTATGCATTACCCCTCTGACATTAAAACACTGTAAAGGTGCACCAGTCCGAAGATGTAAGCTGCCTTTGAACCTCAAAGGCTGCGTTCTTTACAGTGCAGGTAGGGGTATGTATGGGAACACCTGTCACTACTGTCCTCTTTGCATGCTCAGACAGCAGTGTTGCTCAAGAAACCCTGGGCAATTACAGTTCTCAGTGCTGTTACATCTAAGGGAGAAGAGTGGGAAGTTTTCAGCAGCAGAGAGGACCTGAGACTCACACTAACATGAACATGATTGTTTCCCATAGGGAAAGCCTGGAGAACCAGGGCTCCCAGGCCAGGAAGGTGCCAGAGGCTTACCGGTAGGTGCTACTCAGAAGGGTTCCATCCAGTCACTCTTCTGTACTGTAGCTGGAAAGGTTTTGTTGGGCAGATGAGGTCCTTTACTGACGCAAACGTATAGCCAAAGAGCTGGCAAGACTGAGAATAGTCATGGTATTATGACTAAATAAATAAATAATCAACAAAAATAAAACACAGGCATTTCCAAATCCTTCACACTTGGAGAAGAGCAAGTCTCTTATCTAGAAGTTAAAACACATCACCTCATGACACTTTTTCTACCAGAAGGCATAGACACAGCTGTAGCCCTTATGTTCTGTTACATGTCCTCTGAAAGAATGGGAACGATGAAATTTAGGGTTAAATAATCCATTGGCTGGTCACACCAGGAATACATGCACTACAGTCTTGATCTTGCAGCCTAAGGAGCTATGGAAAGCTCTTCCTGTGACACAGCCCTTCCTAATCAGTCTGTGGGACACAGCAGCTCCATGCTGACCAGTCCTCAGTAATCTTAGGCAAAATTGGGAAGGTTATTGAGTAAACATTCAAGCTAGAGTTTTCTTAGTGTTTCATGCTTGGGGGTAATGGATAATTATTGATTTCATTCCCTTTTGTAGGGTTTCAAAGGACAGAGAGGAGATACAGGTCCCCCAGGACCCCGGGTAAGTAACATGTACCTTATGCATGATCCTTTGGAAAAAGATTGTGTGAAGTTGACCTTTCTGAGGCAAGAGGTAAAAATGATGACAGGTCTGTGTTTAACATGGCTGTTTCCAACTAAAATTCCATGGGCCACACTCATGGCATAAAATCACAGCGCCTTTCTTCATTCCCTGTGCTGAAGTTTTGATTCCAGGTAAAGTGAGGCAGCTGGCAGAGCTGACTCCTCCAATGCTCCCTTTGAGATAGCCCTTTGTGAGGAATTTTCAAGGATGCCTCCATACCACATCCCTCTGGTGTGAATGCTGACATACAAAGTGAGGAACCCTACCGCGCTTGTTGGACAAGGATCAGCTCTCCTCCAAAAAGGCCTAAGAAGTGAAAAATAAGTCCAGGAACAAAACTTACAGAAATGAGAATAGAAATGTCTCTAGCCCTTTGACTTAGTTGCCTGGGGATCATAAAACCCAAAAATCAAGTCCTTCATGAAAAGTTGGTCTCCTTTCTGTTCTGAGCAATACAGTACAAAAAACTCCTTGGTGTAGAAAGTAGACTACAAAACTGAATGTCTTTCTGCCTAATTCTAGCTTTTTACAGGGAAATAAAATGCTCTGCTTGCAGAAGCTTAGCTGAAAAATCCAGTGTTGGATTTCCTCATCTCTTCTTCATTATAGTAGTTTTTGTATCATGAAGAGGTTTTTGGTGACTGCACTAGCAGTAGCAAATATTTTGCTAGAAAGCAGTGCACTGCCTTGTGCATCACTTACAGAAGATGCTTCTGAGTTATTTTTATAAGCTGTGTGTCATGTATGATGAACGAGGATCTTGTTGACTTTAAAAAAGTGTTCACCGAGCTCAGTCCAGTATTGCAGAAACCTCATATCACTTATAGTGGTGTTACTGGTCTGTCTTTGACCTTGAGCTAATACTCTTTCCTTTTTGCTGAATTGCAGGGGGAGCCAGGTGTGACAGGTCCTGCTGGTCGTGAGGGGCCACCAGGGAAGGATGTAAGTGCACCATTTTGAGAAGAAACTAATCTCCTTCTTCCTGACAAATGAAGATTTTAATTCACAGCAACCCTGACCTAAAACAGCTGCAGAAACTGCAATAAATTACTTGATCAGTGCTTAGGGAATGATTTATGCTAAGATCATTGGGGTAACAAAGAATTTGAGGGCCTTTGTCACAGCTCAGCTGCTGACACTTAAATGTCAGCTACATCTTTGGAAAAGCAGAGAAAGCCGCATTGTTTGAATCCTAGACGGAGCTGCATAGCCATGGACCTGCTTTCTGCCACCCCTCTCCAAGCAGTGCTTCATTCTGCAGATCCCACTGGGCCAGGTTCTGTCACACTTCCTCTGTAAAAGCTGTACTTTACTGAGAGTGTAGCTCCACTGAAATCTATGAAATACCTATAGAATAAGATGATGCTTCTCATAGGAAAGAGATGGTACAAACAGATCCTCTGACATTATTAGCGTCAAACACAGTCATGTAACAAAGTCCTGGGAGAGTGCAGCTGACGTGGGATCTTGCAGGAGCTGCCGAGCAATGTGGCAAGCAGCTGATGTACCATTGCCACGGGACTTGGAGAAGTGATTTCTTATCTGCACCCTGTTGTATCACTGGAAAACTGTTGTGCTGTAAATGGTATCCTAGAATGTAAAATGGAAGATAGACCTAAGGGAACCCCTCAGAGAAGATAGAAGTAGGTCTTAAGTCTCCCTCAAGAGAGAATAAAGTAGTCAATTCTTGAGAAATACTAGAGAATCTCTGTCTCTGAGAAATCCAGCTTTAAGATAACCTGATAATAGTGATTTCTGCCTGTAACCAGACTGCATTTAGTGACAGATGTTTAAAATTCAAAAGGCTGGTCTTCCTCATACATAACTGAAAGGAGGTAGTGAGACTCCCTTAATGCTGTTTCTCCCTAATATGTGAACAGTATAATTCAGTAGGAACATTTTTAATTGCTTGTTTGCTTGCCTCCATGTCAGATCTTTCTCACTGACCAGAATACTTTTCTTCATTGCAGGGTGATACTGGTCCCATAGGACCACAGGGCCCTCGAGGACCCAGAGGGCAGCCGGTGAGTTTTCTGTCCTGACAAGCCATTTCTGGAGGTACATTGTATGTAGTGAGAATGTCCTGCAGTCCAGAACTCTGGTTTGGAAGAAGAGTCTTAAGCAAGATTCAGGTGATGTTTGACTAAAACTTTTAGTCTACTTTAAGAAAATACAAATCAGAATGATATTGCTAGAAACTGATGAAAACTTATAATAGTGCAATGGAGTGATGGTCGCTGACTCAGTGAGAACAGTTTAATGGATTCTGCCAGGACGGCAATGTCAGAAGTGCTCATATTCCATTCTTGCTCTGGTGTCTCACTGGCTTCTTACAAGGCCTTAGTTTTCAAAGGTAGACACTAACTGCGGGTGCCTAGTTTGAGATATGTGAGGTCCAGTTGTGATACTATTCATTTTTGTCATGCTTTCTGTAATTTTTTCCACAAAAATAAAGTATAATTTTAGGAAAATTGAACACCTGTAGAGTTTTATTACAATTTCAATGGAGAAATGGCAATTTAGTTGACATTTCAGAAAGTGTCATTTGGGATGGCAGAGAAATTACTTTTATTCATTTCATGGGTTATTCAATTCTCTCCTAAAAATCAGCCCTTTCCAAATTTGAATGCAGGTCTCTATTGCCGAACCTAGGCACATCTTTAATATGTTGCAAAGAGTGATTTCTTTTCCTTCTTGGAAGACTTGCTAGTGAAACTGATTCTACAACATGTTCCACAATAAGGGCAAAGTGCTGATTCAGCCAGTAATGCCAGGAGCTGGAGTGGCAGGTCCCTCTGAGCTGGGAGGATAGGGGTTTAAATTAGACTGCAGGAACATATGGAGAGCTCATGTGTCTACCTTGTAATTTATCTCAGTATTCCTGTACTGCTGGCATCGCTCACTAACATGTCATGCCCTTGCACAACACCAGCAATGAATAAAAAGATTTGAGGAGACAGAAATTATCATAACTCCGGGCCATGTTCTTCTTTGGAGAAGAGATACTTGGGGTTTTGTATATTGGAGGGCAAAGTATCAGTTTCTCTTGCTCTTCCTCTGCTTTGTTTCTTCTCTAATAAGGAGTATGAGGCATGATTTTGAATATTGCCAGTAAAAGGGCTGGTCTTTATGGTCAACTCCAATGCAGGGAAAAACATCTCTGCATGGTGAGTTGGGAGGAGAGAGGAGCAGGGTGTAGAATTTCATCTTACCAAACTTCAGTCAGTGTAGATGGTCACCTCAGCTACTTTGATAAGAAACGGTGAGAAACAAGTCCTTTTAAAGGATGATTTGGCTCATTCTGAGTTGTCTGGTGTCAGGCAAGTGTCAAATGCCTCAAGGCTTTTTTCTCAAAAAAGGGGAAGCCTGAAATGATTAAAAAATAGGATGCCTTGCCTCTGGGCTCTGATTCATATGATAGCCCTGAGAAGAGGATGGTAGGCAGTAATTTGCAGGACCTACCTCAGTCACTGGAGAGAGAAAGTTTTCTAACACAGGAAGGTGGGGGTGGGATCTGGAAATATCTGTCAGCTAGTGCAGAGCACTTTAACGTGGATCAGTGAGTTGCCAAGAGGTGCTTCAAACACAGACTAAAGGGGCTTGTCTGAACACTGGTGACTTGGAGCAGCCATAGTAAGAGGCTCCATCCATCCAGGAGGATGCTGCATATTATAGGGATAAGGGTGAAGAAAAGGAGGAGGAGTGCTGCTTTGGTCCTCCTCAGACTAGGGGGTTTGGGTCTACATCTCTCAATTTTTATCCTGGAATGGGATCAGCCATGCAATCAGGGATGCAAAAGTTGTGGAAATAAGATATCCTTACTCTGCAGTCTGCCAAGAGAGGAGGTTGGACAATGCTGAAGAACTCCCTGCTGGTGTAGCTGTATGTGGATATTTTTATTTGTAATATACGTTACTTCACTAATCTTTTTCCTTTTGACACAGGGCAAGAATGGATTGCCTGGATCTGCAGGAGAACCTGGCCCAGCAGGTAACCCAGTAAGTACCACAAAGGAAAACTCATGCAGCAAGCAGTTATGTCAAGAAGTGACTGATGAAGTATAGATGGAGTGGATTATGTGTAGCTGCTTACCATCCCTGAGGCTGCCATGTCTGAAGATCAGTGATCTGAAAATCACTGCCTGGCCATGACATTGGAGCAGGTTTGACTACATTCCTGGAATTGACCTGCTAGCTGGGTCATCATTTTTCCCAGCAAAAGTTAAGTGTTCTCAGAAAAAGGAAATGATTTATTACCTGGTATAGAAAAAGACTGGCATGCCTCATCTTCACCAGTAGATTTAATTTTGCCAAGCAAAGACTGTGCAGCCAGCAGAGAGTTGTCACAAGGAAGGAGAGGGCCTCAGGGAGTTGGCAGACTGCCATTGAGGAATAGCAGCAGCAGAAAAATCCTCCCCGGGCGCTTTCGGAAAGAGCAGACTGTGGGCAGTAAACCAAGATCATGAAGCAGAATAAACCCCCCCTGGGGCCATCCTGTGTGGAAGAACGGCATGGTAATGAAGAGCTGTAAGGAGGATAGTGAGAAGCTGTTTTTTTTTCCTCTGTTCTGCTGCTGGATATTGCTCAGGATTCAGCAAATCCATGCAAATGTACCTTTGTGTCCAGTAGCATCTATTGCTATGCAGGGCTCTTCCCTCTCTTTGTCCGCCTAGACATTACAGCTTGCTGGGCTGTTAGATTCAGATAGAAAAAAAGGCATAGCAGGAGAAATCTGAAAAATTGCAGCAGAACTTCACTCTTCTTAATGGCACTTGCAATGCCATAAAGCAACCTCAGCCTCGCCACAGACTTGTGCCCTGAGCATGTATTGCTTTGCTGCAGAGATGTCTCCTCTTAAACAGTCTCAGAGAATCAAGCAACACCTTTCTGCATGGGGAGGTGATAACTCAGATTACAGGTGAGGAAGGGGTGGTACAGTCTTGCAGCCTTTCTGCAGCCAAGAATAAGTGCTACAGCTTTTTTCTCCTTGACATAACTTCTTACCTTCCTCAGACTACTGCCATTGCTTCTTACCCCGTGGATCCCCACTATTGCCTTTTCAACCTGCATTTCTTTGTATCATGCCCACTGCTGTTCCCAATTCCTATAACTGCTTTTTGGCTTTCTGCATCTTCACCAGGCCACTGGGGCTTTTGGATGCCCTGTGAGTGCCAAATGGGGGTTATTTTTTACTCATCACCGTGTTATCACATTAGCTAGACAGTCAGCTAGTGACCTGGGGACTCACCAGGCAGCTTCCCGCACAAACACAGAACTGCAGCACTCTCTGGTCCAGAGGATTTAGAGCCTAAAAATAACATAAGAGATTGAAAGGATAAAGTCAGATGGATGAGAAAGTGGAAACAATGAGACAGTGTTGGTCAGCAGAACAGACAGACATCTCATCAGTATCCTCTGTCATTAACATGAATCCTCTCCCTTTCATAAAGGTTATTATGGGAAGTGTTTCCTTGTGCTATACATGAATCCATTTATTTCCAGCCTTGTCTGGAAATGCACTAATTTCCCTCATAATGTGGTGTGACAAGCCAATATATTATATTTCTATTTTTAAAAAAAGGGCAGGCGAGGAAAGTTATCATGGTAATAAGGGTTTCTTTTCCACCTTCACCATTGCTAACTTGTAATTACAAGGTAAAACCTGCCAGGAGCCTTCTCTTTTTGCATCTGCTGTTTGACAGTGCCCATCCCAATTCACAATGCCGATGCTTAAGCCTGCACACAGCAATGCAGCCCAGCCCCTGAAATCTCTAGGGCTGACTGCATACCCAAAAGCCATGTACTTTATGCCTGTTGGGTTTGTTGGTGCTCACTTTACACAAGGCGGGCTTAAAATGAAGACAAGTTTGCTCTAAGAAGAAAAAGAGATATGTTCTGAATTAGAAGGTAGGGGACAAAGTTGTGAAAGAAAAGGTTAAAATAAGAGTAAAAAAAAAATATCAGAAGTGTACATGAAATGGCTCTGTATCATGAACTGCCATTTAAACTGCCCTGATCTGTAAGAAAAAGGAATAGTTTGGCAGAATATTACAAGAAATAAGTAAAAGGCAGACATTTTTTTAATTGAACTTGGAAATAAAGGCAAAAGAGCTACTCAGTAGCTGTTTGTTGATTGTATTCTCAGATTTGGGCAGTATGACCACCTGCACTGTTTCCCTGTTGTTGTCCATCACAGCATTTCCACTCTGCAACACCACCTTATAAGCCATGCAGTGCCAAAATAGCCACTGAACATACGTCCTGTCACTTCCATAATTGTCACTTCCTTTTCATCTTTTCACAGGGACCCCACATAGCTTATTAATAATGCAAGCATGGTGTTTACAATCTGTTTTTCTAAATGACTTTGTTCTTCCTTTCCTTGTCAGTTTTGCGAGTCCTGCTGCTACGGTGAAATTTCCCAGTTCCAATGTATCTGTAAATGCATGCTCTGGAAAAGAGATGTTGGAGAAAGGGCTGCTAGTGTCTGTCTCATTTCTGTTCTAAGGGTCCTAAAGGAAATAAAGGAGAAAATGGCAGCCCAGGACTCCCTGGCTTCATAGGACCCCAAGGACCACCTGTAAGTATGTCTGTGGAAGGATTAGACCCAGTAATTACCTGCTTTTGAATGTTCAACTGATGAAAATGGGACATGGTCGTCTTTAATTAGGTAAAAAAATACAAGCAGGAGATCTGACAGATCCACAAGCCATACACTTCTACTTTCAAAGGAAACTGGACTGCAAAACCAGCATTTTTTGTATGGACAAGCATGCATTATCTCATTTACTGAGCTTGGTACCTGTCAGTCATCCCTGATAACATGGTGAAACCACCACTGACGGTCACTCACTGAGGCCATCAGTTCTGGTGCAGGCGCATTCTGCAGAGGAGTGGGAGATCGCGGTGTACAGGTGGGGTTTCCTGAGCTGGGGAAACCCCAGGGGAGCGCAGGGATCGGCCAGGAGCCGGCAGCTCTCACAACAGCGGCTGACAAGGTGTGGTTGGGGCCAGGAGTAAGGTTGGCCACACTCCACTCCCACAAAAGGCCGCCCTAGGGAGCACCAGCGACCAGGAGCGCTGCCAACAGAGTGGGCAAACAGGGCGTGGCGGGGCAGCCAGGGCGTGGCGCGGCAGTCAGCGGCAGTTTGTGTGGGAGGGTGCACAAGGAGGGCACCTCTTCAAAGGAGGGACGCTCCACTGGCCAAGTGGAGAGACCTGAAACCCACTTAACCCAGTAACCAGGAACCATTCTGCGACCACCTGCGCAGGTCAAGGTCACTCATCCTACCTGACCCTCAAGGCAGGACCCACTTAACCCAGTAACCAGGAACCATTCTGCGACCACCTGCGCAGGTCAAGGTCACTCATCCTACCTGACCCTCAAGGCAGGACGCTGCAGCTCCGGCTGGGGACTCTGCACCACCTACCCCGGTGGTGGCTGATGCCTCCACCCCGACGGGGCTGCTGAAGGACGAGGCAGCAGTGCAGACCTCAGGCTGCAGGAGGTGCCCGGACCTCTCTCCTGGGGCAGGGACAGGCAGCAGACCTGCCTGCGAATGGTGGGCCCAGGGTGCGGACC